CCAGGAATATCAATTTCTCCTAAACCAGTCAAGACTTGCGAATATATTTTTTTCAATTCAGTATATCAATTTGCCTAGCACTCTTGTGTGTGGAATGAAGAAGTAACAACTGTGTTGTGCTGCATGACAATGCCTGACCTTTAACATTAACCACAATAAATACAGACAAAGAATGAATACTGAAAGGCTATTGAATTATAAAGCTACACTTTAGCTGCTCTGATTCTGCAAAAAGTTTCAAACACAAAAAAGAAGAAAAAGGAGTTGTCATTTCTGGCACTCACATCACAGACTTGCCATCTTTGTGCTGCATAAAACTAAAGTATTTGCAGAAACCAAAAATAAAAGTGACAGGACACATAGAAAAAGATCAAGAGCAAGTGTATTGGTTTCAAAACTAGGCTGTATGTTTGTTTTTTTAAAAAATCAGAAATAAGAGTTGTTGCCTTTTGAATTGACAACATCAAAAGAACTTCTCTAAAAGGCAAAAAGGAGTCTACTGCTGCAGCCCAGCATCCCTCACCCATTGCTCACCAAAGGAACTGACTGGCAGATGCTAACAGCAGTTCCATTTCAACCACAACGGCACTTGATATCTGGATGTGAGCTATATCCAGTACAAGCTGTATTGCAATGTATTCATCCTAAAGAGTTCCAGTTCCCATTAAGGAGGTTCTGGTGACACCCAACATACTGATGTGCTTATTTCTTGCATGTCTGATCCAGAAATGCTTCAGCACTGCTCCTATTTTAATTCTGTAGAGCACATGAAACTCCTTAATGTGTATAGATCTAGGCTTATCAGATCCAAAATTGAGTAGTTCAAGGAGCAGTGCGAAGAGGGGCTATTCATCCATCATAACAACCTACAGTATACAAAAAAACCCCACCAACAAGCCAACAAGTATGGACTAATCTAGTGCTCTAAAGATAATCCACAGCTAACGATGTAAGAAATTCAAATATGATGAACAGATGATAGCTGACGTCAGTCCTTTGAAGTCTTATTCTTTTTAAGGATCTTCTAAATATTCCCCAAGCCTTCATTTTGTAGGACATTCTTATACCCTGCACAAGAAGTAACCCAAATATTTGCATAACAAGATGACTATTACTACAGCTTGCAGGCATTGAACCACAGCCCCCAGAACGCAGTATCTCTCTATGCAGGCTCTCACTGGCCTGTGAACGTTAAACACCACAACTGTCTCTGCTTTTGTCCAAGTCCCTTCAGTACCGACATTTTCCAGAGAGAACAATTAGGACAGCAGTGACCAACACTGCATAGGGAGCCTATTGAAGCTGCCAGTCTCCATCATCTACAACACAGGTCCAAAGGGCTGAGTCAGAAATGGAACCAAACCCAAGTATGACCTAGGAATCAGCTGGTGAACTTCTTGAAAACAGGAAAACAAAATAAACCAAACAACCCTCCTCTCTATGGACCAAGACAGGCATACAGTGCAATCCTTGCAAAGCTCTCTGGAAGACCTATTTCAATACATCAAGGGTTTATGTGGGGGAAAAAAAAATCCTGCACCGAAAAAAGCAAAAAATCCTGTAGTTTCCAGGCCGTTAAGCAAAGTAATCTTGCATGTTTCATCTAGGAGAATCTACATTTTCAAAATTCCTATTTCCACACCACCTTCACTGCTTGGAAACCCTGATGACAGATAAAAGGTATCTCAGTACAGTAAAGCAAAATGAGTATTTCCTATTCCCCATAACATATGACAAAAATTCATTAACACTTCCTGGACTTGGCATGTAGGAGCTACCAGAGACCAGCTACCTTCAGGTACTGACTACTGGAAACCTTTCAAGATCTCCCAACTCATACTGTAATCTAGTGTAATTTTCAAGCAATGTGCAGTTGAAAGGGGTAGCTGCCTTAGAACCTGATTAATCTTTTCCCTGCCATCCTTTCTTCTTGCTTATATGTAACTAGCCATGTACCTCTGTGATTACTGTTAGGCAACTAATCCAGTGGAAAAACAACTAAGCAAACAAGTTAGTTGTTAGCTGCACCAGCTCCCTGATCTAGCCCACCATGCAACCAGAAAGGCTAGTGCTAGCCAAGGCAAGGGACAGAACTCCCAAGTCTGGCAGCATCTTATATTGCCTTCAGCTTAGCATGACCATGAAAATGCTCCCTTGCCTTTAATATCAAGTTTTAACCCCAACAAAATCACCTCAGGTGCAGTTAGTCAGAAATCTTCAAAAGAACAAAAGGACTGCAGATATGTATTGACCCTTTTTACAGAAGTCAAGTGACTTGTACCAGAGTACTGCACCACTTATTACAATTCTGGGTAATACAGCTCTGTAAACACAACCAGAAGTTTCAAAGGAAAAAGGTGTTTAGAAAAAATATCAAATGCTTACAAATAACTGCTAGCTTTCTAATGCATTATCCCAACATACTTAATTTACCTTCAGCATAATCTAACATCAGCAGCAACAGCATATACATTTTCTCTGCTTGGCAAATTCCTTCATCACTCATAAGTCTGAGCATGGGATCACCAGAAAAGCAATATTTCCAAAGAGCCACATTCGTGAATAATTCATACAGGAGAAAGTAGTCTTTGCAACTAGTCAAGGAGCAAGTGTCCAGATGAAAATTAAAACTCTGAAAACTAATTTCAGCTGCTCTGTGTTGTTTGTACTTTGAAGTCACATATGATTACTTTAAAAGTAAAATACTAGTTGTGATCATAGATTCTGGCACGTAAATCCAACATAAAATTTAGGGGGGAAAAAAAAAGGCTTGAAATATCTGTTGTTAAATCATGAGAAATTTGGACAAGATGGGAGAAAGAGAAGGGTGCTTAAGAAAAAAACAAACCTAACAAACCTCATCCACTGTGTGTGTCATTATTCAATTCAAATCCACCTATATGGACAAAGCCTTCTCTTTGCAGGACCTGGTAATTGACCAGGATAAACTACTACAGCCTAAGCAAAAATTATTTTATTAGGCATAGGAATACAATAATGAGCTCCTTTAGTCATTTCCATTTCTAATTTTCATGATTCCATAATTAAGAAAACATGATTAGACAACTAATCTTCCATCTTACTGAATCCCAGATTACAAGCAAAGAGCTGAAGATGCAGTAACATTTAAAAATCAGTTTTAAACAATTCAAAAGAAGTTATCCAGCCAAACAATAATCTTACATCAAAACAATTAATATCAAACTGGAAGTCTCAAAATCTTCTAAGTTTATGAGTGCTTCTATCCCAAGATCAAACTAAAAATTACCGCCTTTGCCTCATCCAAAATGATAAATATGTATTTTTAGTTATGACACAAGAGACAGAAGATATTGGCTTCCAATACTCTATGCAAATTCTAGACCAACTGGTAATTACTCTCTATTCTTGGCAGACAGCAACAACTCCTATAAGGCAAGGATGAAGATTAAGCCATTGTGGAAACGAAAGTGCTTTTGTAAAAGTCCAAAGGCCAAGAATGTCTGTCCATAAGGCCAAAAGGAGAAAAAAAGCAACGTCAGTATTAACAGTCAAGAATATATTCTTTGATGTTTTTGGAAATTACCCTGAAGTTTACATTTCAAGACTACTGTGCCAAAGAACAAGAGTTTGCCTTAGGGAAACAACTATTACAACCTTCAGACTCCTACAGGATCTCAAGAAGTACCTTAAACACTCCCTTCATAATTTGTTCCTCCACCTTTTATGATTTGACAGCCCAAGTACTACCAGGTATCACAAGCAAAATGATTTAGAGTCAAAGTACCAGACTAGACACTTATAAAAAATTTGCCCCCTTTGGCTTAAGGTACAAGTTGAGAGCAAGGCACACAGAATCTATGAAAGTCTTTCTAGAAACATCAGACACGAAACATGATATTGGACAGTGAGTATATAATGTATGCAATTCCCTCAAAATTTCTGAGTTCCAATTCTCCAGTTTCATGGTTAAGATTAGACAGATTCACAGTTTCACCACTTCAAATCAAGACATGGGATAGCTACTGAAGCAGACTAAGCATATTACGAGGCACGTTGCCCCAGAGGTTTCAAGCTAAGCAAGTCCAAGTCTGTCAAGTCCACTTCAGGAACTGTGAACCAAAGACATGGGAATTGGGACTGAATAAACAATCAAAGAATGGATAGCTACTTGTAGTGAAGATTTTGTACTAGAAATGTTTATTCTGAATAGTAAGCAATTGAACTGTAGAAGATACAGAATGCAGGTTTATTACTTTGTTGGGTATAAACTCAATTATAATAACAGTTTTTAATTAAAATTATTTTATTTATCAGCTTGATTGCTCGTAATTACTCCTCAATCAATAAGCAGTTCAATACTTGGGTTAACTTGATAGACTTAATTTAGCAACTTCTTCTTAAGACTGAATTAAAACTCTCACTCGTTCTCAAGTGAAAGGGGTTGAATGATACAAAAGCATACGGAAAAAACATTAGCTGCATATTAAACTGGAAAAAGCTTCACACTGAATACAGTTATGAAAGATAATGGAAAAATTCTTAAATGTAGATTTTTCCAGTTGTAGCAAAGGGCACAATAAATCAGTTTTACGAAGTAGCTTTTAAATATTTTTTCATAAAAATATATATAGGAGAAATCAAACTATTTTCCTAACAGAGGTGAAACAAAGCAAAGCAGTCAAGAATAAAGGAATGTTCTTGTAACTTGATCCATTTATCTAATATCCTCTTCGTGGATCATTAATTGCCTCTTAAAACGAACACAACACATTGTAAGAACCTCCACCCTCTAAAACCAGACAAGTTTTCAAAGAAGGTCCAGTGCACACTAACTCTCCAAGATACACACACTTCAAAAGCACGGACAGAAGTGAACAGTGCTACTCAAATCAACTCTATGACCATACACACTCCCTTCTAATTTTCAAGTGCTAAAAGCTATTATCTCAAAAACATATTTTGTTCCTTTTAAGAGATTTCTAACCAACAAACAATAAGACTCTGCAACATTTCCAATTAGTTCAGTTTTGTTTTAATGATATGGGGCAATTCTTTGAGCAGACATTGTGCAACTAACAACTACAAAATAAAGAGGTCTATTGGTGTGGTCTTGGAATCCCAATTTGAACTGTAAATTTGAGTCAAGGTAATTAACCGAAAAGCCAGAGTACCTGAAAATGCATACTAAGCTTTTACTTTGATTTTGCAACACTTCTTGAGGAACTTGAAAAAAGTGAAGTTGGTAGAACAGTATATATCACCAAGATTACAAAAACTGGAAGAAAGTAATACATTGCAACAGTGATCCTCATTAAGTAAGTTATTTCATCACAGTAAATGTTTAAAAAAGCGTCAATGTTTTTTAAAAAGTGTGGAACCCCCCCCAAGTATTTGAAGAGAGATAAACCTTTTTCCTTAGTCAAAATGGCTTTTTAAAAAAAGTTTCTCAAAACAACAGCGATAATCAAAAAACATGAATTGTATTTTCTCTAATCCGTAACATCTCTAGTGCTGAAGGGCCATCCATGTAAAAAGCAGATTCTTTGGGGACATTAGTCAATTAACTTAATAAAACCCAGTTTTAGGAGGATTTATCCTTCCTGCTGCGAGGCGAGTCTGCTCCATTTGAAGTCACTGTTCCATTTATTCCATTTTCTAGAAAAAAGAAGAAAACATTTCTCAAATACAATGAGATGCTTTAGACTTTATTACATTTTTGTAGGTCCTACATGAAGCATCTTAACTTCTTTTCTGATGTTATCTTCTTCGTTAAACCTCATAATTGTCATTCAGAATGCAATCGTATATAACAAGGTTTTTACAAAGTGCCAAGTTTCAAGTTTACTGCAATAAATTCCAGTTTCCTGATGTGGCCACACACTGAAATGTGTGCATTATGTACATCTAGACTGAAAATCAAGACTAGTTGTAATATTTTAGAAGATATTCTGTGAAAAACTAAGACACAACCTGCAGATGAGACTGTTCTGTGAAATTTTGGGGACACGCAGTAGATACACAATTCCCTGGTATAGGTATTTACTATTTATCCCACTTATTTCATATAATTCTTTCTAAGATTACACTCCTTCACTTACCTTTACATGCAGTCCACAAATCAGATTTTCTTAAACGGTTTAGGTAAAACAAAGAACAAGAATTAGCATGCGGTTGGTTACCCCACCTACATCACCAGTAGGATCTTCCTACTGTCATTTCTTGCTTTTGGCATAGTCTAAAAGTAACACATTTTATAGTGTCCTGGCTCCCAAAAATCCATCCAGCAACAAAAGTGGGGTGGGAGGTAGAAGACTGCTTTAAACAGTTTAATTACTCTTGCAAATGTCCTGCTGCATTCTATGCAAGGGTTCTGTACAGATTAACATTACAGGAATATTCAAAATGAAAGGCTATGAAAGAAGAGTTCTTTTCATTCCGTTTAACATAAGCTACAAAATTCTCCAGTCTTTAAGACAGGCATAGTTCAAATATTTTGTGAATTAAACCACAGCTCCAATTAACCGACTTTTTAACTATTCATTTACCACTTGCAAGTCTTCATCAAAGCTGGGGGAAAACCAGTAAATTCACCAAATTACATGAATGAAATAGATTAAAGAGACTTAAAAAAGCTACTACATTTTTGACTCACAGATTAAAATGCCATTGAAGTTTATGGTTCAAAATTATTTGACATAAAGCCTTACAAACCCCACAGTGAGTATGCAACGCACATGAAACTCCGATTAAATAGGACACTTGCATAGGAAACTACCTTCACTCAATTATAAAAAATCCCCCAGTCCAACTGGATTTTCTGATGAAAAACAAAAAACTCTAACACTATACAAAAGTCAAGTTGTGATAATTACAAATCATCTAAAGGGAGCACAAAGAGAATCCAAAGGACAGCAAATCAAAAAGAAGCTTGGGGGAAATAAAGAAAAATAAAATTGAATTGATCTCCCACCACAAATCTCAGTTCTCAGTGCAAATGGTCTTGACACACAGTATGTTCAACATATCAAAAAGTGGAACAGGTTGGTCATATGTGTCTGGGATCAAAGGATCATGTTGAAAAAAGCTTTTGAAACAACTTAATCAGTATCAAAAAAGTGCAGAAGTTATTCAAGGTAGCAATTAAATACACAGAAGTTTAACTATTGGTATGGCAGAAACACTGAATTGTTGGGATTTCAAATTTTTTTTTTTTAAAGAGCACATTAATTTTCCTTGTAGCAAAGAATATTCAGTTTATCTTTCATGTCCATAAAAACAATGTGACATAATCAAAAAAATCAAACCTGGAGTTGTTAGTTCATTTCAAAATGCTTCAGCACAGGTTTAGAGTAGTAAGTAGTTATTACCTCCCCTTAAACAACTATTAAAGTATATTTTTAGTAAAAATGGTCCAACATAAGACTAATTACTGGTGGATCATCAAACCACCTCTTTGCTCTAAAACCTCAGAGTTTAGTGGCAATGAAAAACAAACTTGAAATTCATTGCAAGGAAATTTTACAAATAATTGATTATGAGAACAGATCTAAAATTGTTCACTTTTTATACAGGAACAAAACGTAAGCGTGACATTTTGTTCAGGTAAGGAAATTAAACATAATAAAAATATCATGTTCTATTAACTAAAGATATGGCAATGCCTTCATTTGAGCAATTAGAAGAGAAAGCCCAAACAACATATAGTGGTTTTTTTAAATCAACCCTCCCCACTGCAATATTCACCAATACTGTTTCTGTAACTGAGTCATCTCACTTGCAAGTTAAACATAAAATGCTTCTTCAGCAACTATATTATAAAAGGCTCTCCATAACCTTAAGTTGTTTTTGACAAGTCAAGGCAACAGGAAAACTGAAACTACAAACCTCTTTCTTTTCTGGAGGTCTTTCCTTTAGCTGATACGAACTTCTTTTTCACTGACTGAGGCTGAGAAGAAGAATGTTCTCTCCACCTCCGAAGCTGGAAATTAATGAACTTCCACATCATAAATGCTTGAGTCATGCAGATGGAGGCCAGCACACTGATTCTAGAAACAAGACAGAGGCAAAGTTTTATCATTAAGTTTGTCTCATTATTCAAAGAGAAAAGGAAATTAGGACACCCCATAAAGTTTTTTGTATGTTACAGACTGGCCTTTCATTCAGGTTTCTCAAACACATTAGAGAGACTCCTTGTAGGCAACACAAATTGCTACAAGTTCCGTTTTGTTCAGGTTGTTTTTCTTGGCAACTTCCACTCCCTCCTCCTAGTAACATCCATTTTCTAAGCCATACAAGAGTTTGGTCCCATAGGGCAAAAGGGCTTAACTACAACTGGTCAAAACTAGATAAACAGTGAGAATTAAGTCTTTGCCCCTCCATCAAAGCTGGGAAGTACTAGATATTTCCTTCCTGATTTCTCCTTTCTCAGTATTACTCTTAAGGTACCAGGTAGTAACAGCTGAAAAAAAATGTTTTTAAGAGTGTCTTGCAGTTCTGAGCATCAATTCTGCTGACATTGTCAATGTTTTAATAACTTCCTTTTCTGGATTTAATTCGTAGGAAGGTCAAGTGGTCGGCTGAACATCCTGCATCATTGTAGCAGCAATAGGAGCCATAATAAGGGCAGAAAAAGAGGCAGAAATCTTCAACCAAGACCAAAGATGCTCTGGACATAATGCCTTGACCTGTAGAGATAAACTCACTACAATTATAGCTAGAATTAAATTTACTAACTCTAAAATGTAAGAAAGTAGTATCTGTAATTAGATATTCCTTTTAATTCTGGGGGATTTTTTGTGACAAAAAAAAAAAGAAAGCAGTTACAGATTTCTTGGCTGTAAACTGTAAATTATTCATTTCACTGTGCCTTAGAATTTTATCACATAAGCTATTCCTATTGATGCCACTGGTTGCATGAAAACACTCAATCCTTCAGAACTATTGGCATTGATACCATACCATTTATATCGTACATTTAATACAGGTTTACAGCTTATGCTTAAGCACTCTTCCAGTTTACTATACCTAACAGCCAGGATATTAAAGTTTCCAGTACTGAAATTCAGCTGCTGATCTTCTGCTCTTGCCAGTCCAAAGCCAAAAGTGAGGACAGAGAGAATCAAGGTGAGAAGCCTTCCCAAAACAAAAAGAACTGCCCACAGTGAAAATCTAGAAATAAAACCATCACAAACACTAAATGAATTTTCCATTCAAAACACAAACAATGCAAATGTTGACTCTTCACCATGAGAATTTGTTTGAAACATAAGAATTTACCTAAATTCATGATTTTGCATGACTCATGTGTTTCCAGTACTTGTAGAAGACAAAAACCAAGAAAGGCCCTGCCTTACAGCCTGTTTGGGTTTTGGTTTGGTTTTTTTTCAGTTTTGTTTTGTTTTTTACAAATCAAAAGAATGTTCTGAAAACTCATTTCAACTCCACAGAAAGTGCTTTCCAGTACTGCTGCAACATAAGGGTGTTATTAGTTCCTACAGAACTGGCTGTATTAGCAACTTACCCTGTTCCTTTCTTTACAAAACATTTTAAAAACAAAATATTAGTATACAGTGTAAGAGTTTATTAAATTTTATACTGCTACTAACATTTACTTAAATAGGCTAAACCAAGCTAAAAAATAGCTGTTTTATAGATATAAATACTAACACTAATCTGGAGAACTGTGGTCTCTAAGACACACTGTTTGAACTTCTTTGTAGTTTTGATTTCTGGTTAGTTAAATGCAGAAGACTTTACTACATGAATTTACAAGATAAAAACTACTTACCCTTTCTGGTATTTTTCATCACTGAAGTAGAAAAGACGGGATATGTGGAAAAGAAATTCAACGAAGTAATGCAATACCAAAAGAACTAGTCCAAGATGGGTCAGACTATCAAAACAAATAAAACAAACATTCAGACATTTGTTGGATGTTTAAGACACAGAATGAAACCAGCAGATATTCAGAACTGACTTACTTCAGGAGATAGGCTCCAGCAATATGAAAGAGATAAAGCCCAATGTAGACAATCTGGCGAAAGATATCTTCCTATTGGAAAGACAAAAGCAACCATGTGTCATACACAATGTTATACAGTATTGTACAATGCTATATATTATTAAAAACTATTCCCTAGTCTTGAAAATTGTTCTTGGTTTATCAACCATCTTATGTGTCCTGGTCTGACACTGAATTACTCAGCCTGGATCATTTAATTCCACATGTAACTTACTGCTTACTTACCAATACACTATTATGCTACTGTGAGAAAACCCATCAAAAAGCAGATTTCTAAAAGGGCCCAGTTTTATTTGATATGACTACTGTGATTTTGTACAAACTATTACAATACCTATTTTGTATGTATTACTATACCACCAGATCCTACAGTTTCATGTGTTTGCTGCCCATCAAATTGTCAGATTGCTACAGAAACAAAGTAACAGTCTACACACCAAAATGAAAAGGTTTGTAAGTGTTGACATCTATTTTAAAAATTCAAGACAATCCAAAATTCTGGCACACTGTTTCTGGCAAATAGAGAAAATATTGTTATTAACCAGTCATGCTAAACCACGCAGTCACACTTCAAGTCAGGTTTTAGCCATCCCCATTAAACTGAACACTTCATGGAGATGAAATAATAAAGATGAAGACACACAGCACATGGAAAGCAGAGTGCCATTTGTGAATGGAAGAATCATTGACGTATTCCAGATGACAATAAAAATGTTGTCTTGAAGTGGTATGTAGAGTACATTCAGCTGTGCTTAAGAATCTCCTACTTTTTGGAAAGATTCCCTAAACTCCAAGCAAGGGTCTTCAGTGTTATCTTGTATACATGTAATTTAAAAAGGCATAAAATTTTCATTCTGTAAGATCTATACTATGTTATTCAATACTCAAAGCCAACAAAAGGACAGAATCGATCAGTTGTAACAACAGCAAACACCACACACATGCAAAGATCAAGAAAACAGATGGTGAAAGGCCTACCCTAAATGATCAGAAAAAAACCAAAATATTAGTTCTTTCCGATGATTTAGAGAATAGTCAGCACAAATAGCTAGTTTCTCCAAGCACTACCAGAATGAGCCTTTTCCACTTCAGAACTGAGATAACATTTAAACAGCCCATGCTGCCTGCTTAGAGAACCTGTCAGAGACTGAAGGCCTACTGGAACAACGCAGGTGGAGAGATATATATGACTATACAGGAACCAGAGTTAAGAAGGAATAAGGCAAGGAAGGCAAAATGGTTAAGCTGTGGTGAAAGAATTATCAACTACTAACTTGCTAAAACAAATCAACCATCAGCCTTAAAACTTAATGCAAAAGTCAGAGGCAAAAATTTCAAACAGTGACCCAGTAGAACACTACTACTCAACATACAGCACACATGTGACACACTTGTGACAGCTTTCTTGAAGTTATGTTGAAAAAACCTCCACCCTTGGCTAGGAAGCCAAATTCAAGAAGTATCACAAATGCAATATGGGAGCATCAGCTGCAGTGTATCTGCAAAACAGTGTTTACATAAAAACAAAAGCATCTCATTACTATCTTCCTTAGCTTCCTCTAGGCTCTTGAACAAAGACCTATAGTTATGTAACACCTATGTTTCATTTTCTTGAACAAAGCAGAACTCTGACAGCAGAGACAGTCACAGAGCAACAACAGTCATAGAATGGTTTGGGCTCGAAGAGACCTTTGTAGATCATCTAGTCCACCCTCCCTACCATGGGCAGGGATGTATGTCAATAGATCAGGTTGCTGAAAGCCCCATCCAACCTGACCTCAAACTCTTCAAATGAAGGAGAATCCACAACTTCTCCAGGCAAACTGTTCCAGTGTTGCACCATTGTCTTGTAAAGAAATTCTTCGTATCTATTCTAAAACTACCCTCTTTCAGATTAAAATCATCGCCCCTTGTCCTGTCACTACAGGCCCTGATATAAAGTCTCTCTCCATCTTTCCAGGCTGAACTACCTCAACTCTTTCATCCTGTCCTCACAGGAGAGGTGTTCCATCTCCCTGATCATCTTCATGGCCCTCCCCTGGACCTGTTCAAACAGATTCATACCTTTCTTGTGCTGAGGACCCTAGAGCTGGCTGCAGTACTCCAGGTGGGGTCTCACCAGAGTGGAGTACAGGAAAAGAATCACTTCCCTCAACCAGATGGCCATTCCTGTTTTTTTTTCATGAAGCCCAGGTTACAACTGGCTTTCTGAGCTGCAAAGGTACATTGCTGGCACAATTTTTCATCCTCCAGTACCCCCAAGTACTTCTCTGCAGGGCTCTCAATTCATTCATTCCCAACCTGTATTGATGTTGGGGATTTGCATAGCCCAGCTGGCCTTGTAGAACTTCATAAGGTTCACATCCTCAAGCCTATCAAGATCCCTCTAGTTGTCATCCTTTTCCTCAAGCAATCAACTGCACCACTCAGCTTGAAGTCATCTGCAAACTTGCTGAGGGTGCACTTGATCCCTCTGTCTCTTGTCACTGATGATGATGTTAAGCAACACTGGTTCCAGTACAGACCTCTGAAGAATACTGCTCGTTACTGGTTCCACTTGGGCATCGACTCACTGACTGCAATTCTCTGGAAGCGTCATCCAGCCAGCTCCTTATCCATCTAATCTATCCATCAAATCCAGTACCTATACACAAACAATCTAATCTATCCATCAAGTCCAACTGTTTCCAGTTTAGAAGCAAGAATGCTGTGGGAGACCCTATCAAAAGCCCTAAGAGAAGTTCAGGTAGAGGACATCAGCAGCTCTTCCCTCATCTGCTGATGCAGTCACTCCCTTGTAGAAGCCAACTAAATTAGCCAAGTATCATTCGCCCTTGGCAAAGCCATGTTGAAGAGCTTAAGACAGGAAAGTTTAAGCAGGAAACTGTATATGCAAAATGATCCTGAACAAAAAAGAGACTATTTAAATTGGTCTAGGAAGACAAAAGTTGTGCCACAAAAATAAAAAAATCCATAGCAAACTCAGTGTTATGAGAACACAAAGAGAGAAAACCCTTAAGGGAAAAATGATGCTGTTAAAAATTGAGCACTGAAAAAAATCTCAAGATACAATTAACCAAAACTTCTGTTGAGGACAGTGGTATTTAAATCAAACCCCAGACTTTTAACACTCCTTTATGAAATTATTCACTGCTTATATTCTACACCTGTATCATGATTCACGAAGCAACTGTCATTTCCATGAGACTATTCAGACTACCAATTATGAGACACAAAGAAAAGAAAAAAGAAAATCACACATTAATTTGCTCAAGGGAAAACACTTTTAGTAGAGGAAAAACACTAGTAATTTTTATTTACACAACAGATATATAGCAATTTTACTGCAATTAGAAATACAGGATTTAACTGAAAAGAAAAGCCACCTTTCTCATATGGACATTTGAGCACCCCAAGTTCCATCAGGAAAAGGAGGTAACACAAATTAGAACAGAGTAGAAGATCTAGGGCAACAATTAATTAACTACTCCACTGTTTGAACTGCTTGCTTGGGAGTTCCTTCCATTTACATTCGAAACTTACTTTTTTAGTTTTCTGGAAGTACAATTCTGGAAAAGCATGAAACCAGTATGCCAACTGTAAGATGTAGAAAAACTTCATTTGAAACCTGTACAATACAGCAAGAATTGAAGAATATTACTTGTTATGAATGAATTTAAAACACTTCTGAAGTTTTCTAGCGAATACATTTTATCACATTTAAAGAAAGAAAAAATACAAACTCTTCCTCCCAGCCAACTCTAAACTAAGATTTTAAAACCAAAATCATTAAGATAAAGCTTGCAAAAATTTTATTCTTTAAAACAGCCCACAGAAGCACTATGTATGCTACAAACTGTCAAAGAATCAAGAGCCTACATAAATATGACCAAAAATACATTAGTGATTAATACCGTTTTACAAACTACTTATTCTACACATGTTGTATGTGACAAACCCTAAGCTTAAAACATTTGCTCCTCTCCCCCAGCAACCCCCTAAGGAAGAGGCCTTACGGAATCAGAGCGTGCGGATAGTCCCTCCACAGAGAGGTTGGATCTGATATATAGTTCTCCTAAAAAAAACAACCAAACCACAAACACAAAAACCAGTAAGTTCTCAAAGACGCTACTTTCTAGTCAGAAATAATGACTGGACATACATGCATGCATTTATCTATCTGCATGTGTGTTCATACACACATCTACATACACAAGTAAAAACTGCAAATCTATTTCTTTTCTTTTCAACAAAGGCCCCCAAGAAACCACAAATAAACAAACAAACCCAAACCAAGTCCAAAAACCCCAAACCCCCAAAATAAAAGACAGCTGTACTGGCTTAGGAAAATAAAAAGCAACCCAACAGACCAAGTGTTCATTCAAGATGGAAAGTCCTTATGAGATGGAAATTATTTCAGCATCACTACAGCCTTTAAGTCTTCCTTTGTAAATTGCTGACAAGCTTTGAGCCTAACTAAGAGAATGAAAGGTTTCTCAGGACTTATTACATTAAGAAAAAAAATAAATCATACTATTCCCCTTCTACGAAACTAAGCTGATACACATCCAGCCACCAGCAAAGAGGATGTGACCTGAAAGGACACGCTCACCCAAGACTACAGCAACCTGTCCATAGGCCCATCCCCTAGGCTCCAAAATGCTATGTATGATGCTTTTTAAACAACTAATAAACCAGTGCAAAAAAAGCTACAGAGAATTAAGTTCCATAACAGAGATGGAAGGTTTTATCTTATTCATATGACAGTAAATCAACTCAAGACTGAGCAACAGTAACAGCATTGGACTTTATACTCAGTTATGACTACAGCCTACACAGAATCCTGAAACTTGTCCCCATTTAACATTAAAACCAGCTAGAAACAGAAAATAAGTCAAAACCATATTTATCATCAGCCTAAGTGAAGTTTCTGAAATCTTATAATACAAACAGAAAAGAGCATACTTACAGAGACAAGAATACTTGTTCCCCAAACACAGGAGAAAAGGTAGAATGCACTAAGTTGCCCAGACTCATTGAACTTGCTGTGTTTCGTTTTTGAAAAGTGCATTTTCCTGTTAATTTTCTGAAAAGAAAGTCCATTGTTATATACATGCTGTAGTACCTAACATCTACCTGGTAACTGCATTAGAACGTTTAGTCTAAAAGTTTTAATGCACATTTTAACACTTCAAAGCTTTAATAAAAAGTTTACTTTTAAATTAATACTGTTAAAATCTACTTTAAACCCAACAATTATCTTGATGGAAGGAACGAATATTTGTACTTACATCCAGTACATACTCCTGAATTATAGCGTGTATGATTATTGCTACAAGCATGTAAAAGAAAATCGTAGCCAAGTCTTTGATGCCATAGTGATAGAGAGAGATTGTGTCTGCAGATTGTTCTTCTGAAAGACAAACAAAATTAACTGTTAGGCACCAATACATTTTAATGGCTAATGAGTTTGTTTCTGAGTGAAACCTTTCAGACAGAAGTAGCTTGTGGTCAGCTGAACAAACAGAAGTCAAATTAAATTGCCATCATGAGCTAGGTCACCGGACCGTTTATAGTTATCTTCTCCACATCACAAACTAAATTTGATTCTGGAAGAGGTACTGTAATACTCAAAACTTAAGTGCACTTAGGCAGCTTACCCAAATGCACTGAAAGCAGACAATAAAAATATATGAAACTATCACCCCACTTTGACTGTTAAAGATTGTCACTTGCAAAGCCAAAGTAAGAATTCATATGAACTTAACTACCAGTCAGATGATGTTTTAGCACTAATGATGAATCCACCAGAACAGAAACATCATCTCTAACCTAATTAACTAAAATGGAGTTTTAATAAAAACAAAGTAAAATCCTTGAAAACTGCTTATTATCTATTCAAATTGTCAGATTCACTTACTGTCAGTCTAGAAAGCAGAGAATATTAATAATGTCTGAATACACTGTCTCATAACTAACCTCGTGCAAGATACATACCTGTGGCAGGAATGGTAACATTATACTGAAGTGTAACAAAAATGACAGCTGCTTTTGCTGTGATCTGAAAGAGAAAAAACCCAAAAGGGCTAAATATTCTCATGGAAATAAACTACATTAAACTGAAAATATTTGCCCATAATTTTAGCACCCTTGCCCAGCACGTTTGTCTCCTTCCACACCATCACAGCACTTCACCTGACTTTCCAGAGGCAGAACACATTGCATGACCTCGACAGGTTTGTTTACAGCATACCAAATCTGCTGAATGAAGTATCTTCCAAAATGCTACTTACAAATAGTTCTTCCTACAACGCTAAAATGAAAACATATGCTACAATTCTTTCCTCAGTCCATAAGGTATTATTTCATTTTCAGAATGTACAACATCATGGAATCCCTAGACCATTCCCAGCAATGGCTGAGAATAAACGTCATTCAAAACTACATTTTTCATTTGACAAAATCTGAAGGTCAGTATCACATTCATAAATCTGTGGGTGATCTGAAAAATGTGGACAGGGAAGGCAAAAAAAGGCACAGAGAACAGAAAACCACTTCAGGCCAGTGGCATACCAACTCAATACAATTAGAATTCTTTTGACCCTGGGGATCCTTCGGCAAGAAGTGTAAAACAAAAGAAATGAGATTCAGCAGTAGTGGTACTACCCCTTCATGATGAACTGTAAGAAAAGGCAGAATGAATAGAAGACATTTGGAGGGAGGACATTTGTCCTAATGGATTTTTTGCAGGGTGGGGATATTCTAAAATCTCAAATAAATAAGCAGGAGTACTAGTTCTATTATTAATAAGCATAAGTTTCTTTTTAACTATAACACATCTTTGTTGAATCCCAGCATGAATTAACGTCTTAACTGGGGGGAGGGGGGGGAATCAACTGTTCTTGACAATATTAACGATTGTTTGTCATTGCTGCAAAAGCCAAGCATCCTTGTGGCATTCACAGGACCAACAAAAACCAAACTCCCTTATGAATCTTGAAAGGATATGTTGAGTATCTGAAGATAATGACTGGGTTACCACCAGCATTATTTACCATTCACAGGAAATGAGACTTAGTTTTTAAAACCAGCTCTAGATCAACAAGCCTTAGATCTTCTATGAAACCCTGAACACACAGCAGACTGTTCATTCCATGTAACTTCAGGGATTCTAACTAGTTTGCCTAAATTAGTGAAGTTGCCTTGGGCTCCCTATTCATCAAGGGAACCCTCAGAGGACAATTCAAAACATTAGTCAATTCTGAGCTGCCCTTTGAAGGCTGTCAGCTACTCTCAGTACTAATTCAGTGACACAAGTCAGGCAGTATGAACACCTTACCACACCAACATTAACCACAGCAGGTGATTTCAAGACCTGTATCAAAGCATTAAAAAAAAATTGCAACAATCTTCTCAGCCCTACCACATCCCTACCAACACAGACTCATGGGCCTTTCTACCTTGGGGTAGAAAACACCCTGTATTAAAAAAACTGGAAAGAAACTAATTCACCACATTAAATCCCCCTAAACCTTACAACCCTACCAGCAATACTGTAAATACAGTAAGTCAGAAGTAGGCATAAAAGGTAATGGTTTCAGTCCATCTCTTTAATTTCACTCCCCTGAAAAGCACCATGTAAGGGCTGTCTTGGTGATCATAGAACTTTAGGGGTTGGAAGGGACCTTATAGATCAGTTAGTCCCAATTGCTCTCCCACGGGCAGGGACACCGCCCCACTAGACCAGGTTGCTCAAGGTCTCATCCCACCTGGCTTTGAACACTGCCAGGGTTGGGGCACCCACTGCCTCCCTGGGCAACCTGTGCCAGTGTCTCGCCATCTTCACAGTAAAAAACTTTTTCCTAATATGTAGCCTAAATTTCCCCTCTTTCAGTTTGTACCCATTGATTTGTGATAGCAAACCCGAACATAACAGCTTTGTTGGTTTATCCTGTTTTTAATTTTCATATATCTATTTATGTTTTCCCTAACTCCACTAGCCTCTAGTGCTGAGCAGTACCAACAGCTGGATAAAACTATTCTGAAAACCACCTACATAACAAAAAAGGTCCAGAACCCTAAACAAACGTCTGAAATAAAAATCTAAGCCATCAATAAGCCAGAAACATTCAGCCAGCAAGTGTCTTACTCTGATGATCTGATCAGTGATCTTACTCCCAGTGATCCCAGATCACTGAGAAGTCTTTGGCAGTCACACAGGTGAGTTACCCTTTCGGCTCTCTCAGAAGAGAAGAGCCAAAAAGGCACGTTTTAAATCGCGCACCCGATCCGGGAGCCCGGCGAGCGCGGCCTGCAGCCGGAGGGAGAGCC